CCACAATCCCTTCTCCTCCATTCTCCTCTCGGAATCTTGGGCACACACACGTGCCCAGCGTGAGTTTAAGCCGCCAGGTCCTGGGTTCAAACTGCGGTCGACTACATAGGAGTCCAGTGACATAGTCATTATGCCAACTGCTGGTCCCAATTTTTAAATATCTTAACAGTGTTTCAACACCATTTATTTAAAAACACTAAATCTGAGCAGTGGCCCATAAGCTTTACCAGTTGCCAAATAGATCGCTGGTACAAAATGCTTGCCTGTGCCAATCATTATCCTCCTAAAAGGAGACCAGCCTGGGTCAACCTTAGGCATATTCATTTCTTTTTTTTTTTTTAGAATTATTTTATTTAACTTCCTTCCTTCCTTCCTTCCTTCCTTCCTTCCTTCCTTCCTTCTTTCCTTCCTTCCCTCCCTCCCATCCTCCCTCCCTTCTTTCTTTCTTTCTTTCCTTCCTTGCTTTCTTCTCCTTTCTTTCCTTTCTTTCTTTCAATTTGACCAGGGACAGAGTGAGAAAGAGAGAAAGGGAAAATGAAAAAGCAAGCTGCCAAGTCCGGGACTCGAACCATCATTAGCTAAGTGGGAGTCCAGTGCTCTTAACCACCATGCCACCTGCCTGCCCCAGGGCCTTTTGGTTTCTAAACTCCAACTCAGTCACCAAATCACTGGAAGGAGTGGCACTGAGGGCTCAAGGGAGCAATGAGAAATCAGGAGCTTCCCCAGTTTGGCTTGGAGGTAAAGAATCTTTCTGAAGGTTTGGGGAGGCTATGGTTCTAAGCCCCTTTGCCAGCGGTGCTATTCTTGAGACCAAGAGTACAGTTTCCACCTTTAAGAAACCCATCTGCAAATTGAGAGTTTCCTAACTGTGCCCTTGGGTCCCTGCTATACTGTAAAGACCCCTGGTGTTTTCGAAAGAGGCTGAGTCAGGACAGATAAGCAGTAGAGTTAAGGCAGATACTTTTTTCCTCTTCTCATCTCCCTGCAGGGACTGGCTTAGAGCTCCAGTTTGAGCCTGTGTTTCACGCCCTCGAAACTGGGCCATTGCACAGAGAACAAGGAGGGGAGGAGGAAAGGGGTCTTGGGCCTTCCTGGGGCTCGAGTCCCTTTTTCTATCTAGTGATACCTGTGGTCCCACTGGACAAAATGTTTCAAATGCAGATAATAAAATATGTAAAATTTCCAAGGAAACAAATGACATAAAATATAATTAACAAAATATCTACATGCATAATACAGTAATATATGTGCCTATTTACAAATGCATCAATAACACATCCTAGCAGCAGGTCTAATGAGCATTGTAGTTTTGAAGAAACAATGAACATTGGGACCAGAAGTTGGTGCAATGGCTATGTCGCTGGACTCCAATGTAGTTGATCATGGTTCGAGTCCTGGACCCGGTGGCTTAAACTCATGCCAAATGCATGTGTGTGCGTGCCCAAGATCCCAAGAGGAGAATGGAGGAGAAGGGATCGCGGTGTGGCCATCACTTTCTGTCTCTCTGTCTTTCTGGTGAGCGCACATGCCCTATAGCAAAAGCCTCTCAGAAAGAAAGAAAGAAAGAAAGAAAGAAAGAAAGAAAGAAAGAACATTAACAATATTTTGAGATATCTGCTACTATAATATGACATAAAAATATCAGTGACTTGGAATCAGCAGTTAGCATAATGGCTATGTCGCTAGACTCCCATGTAGACGACCGCGGTTCGAGTCCCGGACCCGGTGGCTTAAACTCTCATTGGGCGCGTGTACGTGCATGCCCAAGATCTCGAGAGGAGAATGGAGGAGAAGGGATTGCGGCGTGGCCATTCCCTCTGAGGGGTGATTTCTCGCTTTCTGTCTCTGTCTCTCTCTGTATGTCTGGCGAGTGCATGCGCCCTATAGTGAAAAAAAAAAAAAAACCTCAATAAATAAATAAATAAATAAATAAAATCAGTGACTTTAGAGAAAGTACTGCTAAGGCTGTAATTTGTTGCCTATGTTATAAAAGGGAGGTCATACATTTCAGGTAAAAGTAGTGAAATGGAATTATTTTCCTATTGCAGACTCCCCATGTCCCAGGTTAAGAACTCCTTCCTGCCTAATCCCAGTGTCCCATCATCAGGGAGCACTGGGCTGGGAGTTGACTTCTGCTGATAGTGTCGAGTCGTCTTATTAGCATCAAGGAGACATGGTTTGTGCTTAGCTTAGCCATGGGCCACCTTCAGTTGCCTCACTGGGCCTTCTTTCTCTCTGTTTTGGAAGCTACAGTTGTTCAACATTCACATGTCATGATCCTCGTCCTGCCTCAGCCTCCTGTGTCACTGGGATTATAGGCACTTGCCTTTGTGCCTGGCCTTTAGAATGGACTAAGAATCAAACCTAGGCATCCCATGTGGTCCCAGGTTGGAGAGCACAGTTTCTTAGTTGCCTGTGTCACTATGACTGGGCTACATTTTTATTTTTCTTAGTGGTGATTCTGCTGTGAACCACAAGCTAAGGTGCCATAGCTGTTGTCCTGGCTTGGTCATCTGGGGCATAGACCTCACTGACCAGTCTCTGACACAAGGTTCCATTCCTTTCAGTGACCAGCAGCCTCCTGCTTGGTTGTGTTTCCCACCCCTTCTAGGCCACCCTGAATCCAAAACACTTCTGTCCCCTAAGACAACAGTTTTTCTTAGGGCACCTCTGATAATCAAGATCCAGTTTTAAAAACCATAAACCACAGGGCTAGCGGTGGTAGCACAGTGGTTACACAACACTCCATGAAGCTCATCCCACATGAGAAGGTCCTATATCACATGTGGAGGTCTCCATGCATACCCCTTGGGCATATGTGTATACCCACGATCCAGGTTGGCTGGGGCTAGGGGATAGATCATGGCATGAAGACCCTGTTGGGAGCGCCTCTACCTCTCTCTCTTTCTTATGTAAACAAATAAAACTTTAAAAAAAAAAAACACAAGCTATAGGGAACCAGCAGTTAGCGTAATGGCTATGTCGCTGGACTCCCACATAGTCGACCGTGGTTCACGTCCCGGACCGGTGGCTTAAAACTCCCGCCGGGCGTATGTGCGTGCGTGCTCACGATCCCGAGAGGAGAATGGAGGAGAAGAGATTGCCGCGTGACCATCCCCCCTGGGGAGGTGATTTCGCGCTTTCTGTCTCTATGTCTCTCTCTGTCTGGCGAGCACACGCGCCCGATAGCAAAAACCTCTCCAAAAAAGAAAAAACAAAACAAAACACAAGCTATAAAACGAGAAAAGGTAGCTTGTGCAATGCAAAAGTTCAAGATGAGAGTGTTCTCAAGGGGAAAAGATGCATTAAAGAGTGCAAGAAGAGCAGGGCTGGGGTTGAAGAAAAATATGCATCATAGAGTGCAAGAAGAGCAGGGCTGGGGTTGAACCCAGTGTGAATCTACCCTGTCCCCCTTCAAGGAGAGCAGAAGTACAGGTGAAGGGGACTCATCCTGGCTTGAATCTGCATCTGTCTCACTGTGGACACTGTGTGAGTCCCAGCAGCTCTTTGGACCTGTCACATAATCTGTGCCCCCAGCAGGCCTGTAGTGTAGGTCACTTGGAAGATCGAATGAGAAGCTGCCTCTTCAGCTCCTGAGGTAGGCTGGTGCATAAGAAGTGCTCATCCCTCATTCGCCCTTGCTAACCTCTCATCATTACATCACCTAT